GGGCATCCTTGCTCCGTGCTGCAGCACTCACAGGACGGCAGAGCAGCAGGGTGACTGGTGGGTCCCCCTCCCTCAGGCCACCCTGCAGAGAGCCGAGCAGCAGCTTTTCCACTTGGACCAGCGGAGCCAGGAAGCTTCCATGCCAAGGTTGTCCATGTGGGAGATGGCTTCAGCCTCCCATCCTTGCGTCTGCAGGTCCTGCTGCAAACCCATAGCAGCACAAGGCCCCATTCGGCTCGAAGCCTCGTGGCTGCTGGCTGGCTGACCAGGGCCTGGTGGGGCTGCCGGGCCTGCTGGGGCTGGACGTGGGAGAACATGGCGCAGCTCCGCCAGCCCTGGACCGCTCTGCAGCAGGGTGGCTCTGCTGGGATGCGGAGCTGCTGGAGGCACGTCGCATCCCTGAAGTCGCCTCATCCTCAGGCAGAGCTGGAGGCAGGCGGGTGCAGGCTGTGGTGCGGCATCTTCCCTCCAGCCTGTGCAGGATGGCTCGCTGTCACTGCTGCTGGTGCTGGCAGAGCGTGTGTTTTCCCAGCCTTCCCCTTCCCCACATGCACGTGCTGCTCCGCTCCGCTAGGTAAGCGCTGGTTCTTACCCGTGCTGAGGCAGCCCAAGAGGGATGAGGAGGCTCCGGGGTTGTGGTTTAAGCTGGCCAGCAGCTGAGACAACCACACTCCCCCCTCTCCCAGTGGGATGGGGGAGAGAATTGGAAAAGGGAAAAAAACTCGTGGGTTGAGATAAAGACAATAGGACAAAAAGGAAGATAAGAATAAGAATATACAAAACAAGTGATGCTCAGCACAATTTCTCACCACCCAAAGTTGATGCTCAGCAAGACCCTGAGCTGCCCTGCCTCTCAGCCCACCCACCCCAGTTATGTACTGAGCATGACGTCATATGGTATGGAATATCCCTGTGGTCAGTTTAGGTCATCAGTCCTAGCTGTGTCCCCTCCCAGCTTCTTGGGTGCCCCCCACCTTCTTGTTGGCAGGGCAGTGTGAGAAGCTGAAAAGTCCTTGACTGCTTGGCAACAACTAAAACTGTCAGTGTGTTATCAACATTATTCTCATCCTAAATCCAAAATACAGCACTACACCAGCTGCCAGAAAGAAATTAACTCTATCCCTGCTGAAACCAGGACGGATTCAGAGAGGAGCTGGGCTGCAGAGTCCAGGCGCTGCTTGGCCGGGCTCTGTGCAGCTGCTGCATCCCCACCTGGAATTCGGCCTCTGTAAAGGGCTGACCCCGAGAGAAGAGCGGCCAGTTGTCAGCCCAGCTGGTTTGTAGCATCCTGGGCCCCATGTTCCCAGCCCTGCAGGCACAGCTGGTGCTGCTGCACGATGGCGGAAGTGGGAGAGCATGGGGGACGACAGCAGGAGGGTGGGCTGTGCCGCTGTCGGTGCTCAGGCTCGCCACTAGTAGGGTGCAACGGTGCCGTGCCCTGCAGCGAGTGTGGGTGTGCGACAGGAGCGCCGTCGGGTCCAGGGCGTCTCGCAGAAGATGGTGATGGTGCTTGGGTGCTGCAGGGTGCTGTCCGTCAGTCCTGCCTCGCCCCCAGGCAGGGACGGTGTGCGAGGCTGGGCTGTGCCATGGCCCCGGGACTGTACCACCAGAGGCCCGTGGTGGTCCTGTCCCCCCACAGCAACGTAGTGATGTACTCGGCACATCATGGAGCAGAGCGAAAGCCCCCTCAAACATTGCTGTGCCACCCCACAGCTTATCACCGGTAAGCCTTATTTTAGCCCTTTGAACCTAGTTTGAAGCTCCCCAAAGTTGTGAGCAAAAATACTTCTACCCTCAGGCCCCAGCAGTCCTGGTGTCACCTAGAGCACCCCATGAGACCACCCCCTGAGCAATTTGGTGGTAGCCTATGGGTACCTGCGCTGGGTCACCCTCTGTGCAAACCGTGAGGGTAGGCTGGCTTCACCCATCATTTCTCCATGCTTCTGCAACAGCAGCTGCTGGTGAGGTGTGAAGCAAGCCATGTGCAGCCACCTGGCACAGGCAGCAAGCCTAGCTGGACCTGCTGCTGTTCCAGCTGTGTCTGCACAGCCAGACATCCGTACCTTTATGCAAAGCACTACTGCCCAGAGAATTTACCCATCAGACCATTTCATGTACACACTATGTGCCACCCATAAAAAGCCAGAGTTTGCCCTTTCTCCTCAGTTCCTTCCAGCCAACAACCTCTATAGGGACAGGAGAGAAGTTTTACCTCACCAGCACACCCCCAAAACTTGCCAGCGTTTCGCTCAAACGCCATCCTATTGCCTGTGGAATGCAGAAAGCCCTGGGAGCTCTTGGCTAGCAGGGACTGGGTGGTCTCCAGAGGTCCCCACCGAGCACGGCCGTTCTGGGATTCCATGCTCATGCTTCAGCAGCGAGCTGGCAGGTTGGAGAGCAGACTGGATGACAAAGATGATGCCTGTCTCTTGGAAAATGCAGAGCTGTCTATAAAAACAGAGAGAAGCCTGTAAACGTATGTGTCCATGTCTGTGTGCGCGCATTATATAGAGCTTTCAATAACATAAATAGAGGCCCTTCGTGGGGCTTGGGGGGTGAGAGAAGAAGGTGGCTATAAAAAGCATCTAGTACAGGAATAAGTGCTTTGGCAGAAGGGGCATGCCCCACTTTTTTTAAGACAATGTAAATGCAAAAGGAGAAGAGAGTTTAGAGCATGACGATAGATGTTGGTTCAGTAAAATACGGCAGTCCGTGGTGTTTGTCTGCAAGCACACAGTGAAGGTGCATGCACAGACAGTGAAAACTCCACCCAGGGAAGGTCCAGACCCTTCGTCCGGTACCAAGGGGAGGACAGCAGCGCTGCAGGCATGCAGCCTTGGACACAGGCGGTGCTGCAGGCAGGAAGACCAGGTAGGGCTGTGGCAAGGGAAGGCTGGAGTGAGCCGGGTGCTTCAGCAGGTAGGATTTACCTCAGCTTCATCTTTCACAGATTTATGCATTTGAAATACAGTGGTTTGCTCTCAGAGATGCAAACTGCGCTGCTCGGGTGGTGGTTAGCATCTCACCACCTGAGGTATGCTCTCTCTGTTTCCAGGTTTGAGAGCTGAATAAGCCATATGATGGGGAACTTTGCGGTCTGGTGTGGGGGAAGTAGCTTCCAGTGAGATCCAGTGCAAAAGGGGTGACCAGATACCATAAGATATGCTGAGCCAAAAACTTGGGGAGATGAGACATGGCGTGATCTGGAGGGCAGGAAAGAAATGGAGCAGAAAGCCTTGGCAAGAAACACACCAGTCTATGTAGTAGGATGAGATCTGGCATCTCTGGGTAGGTCATAAGTTCAGTATCACAGAATCATAGAATGGTTTGGGTTGGAAGGGACCTCAAAGATCATCTAGTTCCAACCCCCCTGCTGCAGGCAGGGAAATTGCCATAATAAGCCATCACCAGCTGTGCTGTGAGGGTTCACTTGTGCTTGTGAGCTCCTGTTGCACTAATCAGTGGCACAAAACCTCAAGCAGTTGTGCAAGCTGCAGTGCACAAAGATGTGTTGTCAGCTGCTGTACACTGCCCTCACCCTGCTCATTACAGTAAGCAATTTGGCAGTGATTGTCCAAACAAATCTGCCCACTTGCCTTTAGGATAAATTATTTCCCCAAAATAATATAAATCATCAGTCCCCTATTTTGAACTGTTCTGGATCATTTTGGCTTTTCAAAGACAGCTGCAAAATGTCAGTGACAAAGGAATAGAGTTCAGGAAAAGAATCTTAGTTCTCCTTCCACACATACGCTATCCTCTTGAAAGCCCAGGCAGATGCCACTGTTCTTGGCTGAATTTTCTGTGACATTGTTCATGGGCAAACTCCATCTTTCCCAGTGGAGGAGTTTGTCAGAGACCTCTGCAATGACTCCAACTCCTCTTTTTCATAGAATCATAGAATCACAGAATTCAACAATCCACAGGTTGGAAGGTACCTCAAGGATCATCTGGTTCAACCTTTCCTAGCAAAAGCTCCATCTAGACAAGAGCACCGCCTAGA